AAAAAAAAAAAAAAAAAAAAAAAAAAAAAAGAAAGAAAAAGAAAAATGGAATAACCAATCAAAGGAAAAATGAAAAATATTGTAGCCAATTAAAGCAAAACATGCTCAAGTATCAAATATTATCAAGTGATCAGATACGGAAACAAAAATACTGGCAAAAGTTGTGTTATCTATATTTATACTTTAAGGTTTATATTTCTTTCTTTATAGAGAACGATAAGATAAATTCCTTGTTGAAGGGCAATAGATTATCTCACCTTATAATTACAAACTATATTTCCTATTCAGATCTCCCTACGTTAAAACTCCAGTGATTCTCAGACCAGGGAATCTTGGCCCAGTGTGGGAGTCTTCCAGAAGACGTGGAAGGATTTTTAGTAACTGTACGCCAAAGTTCTGTATGTCAATAAAGAGCTGCTAAGTGTAGCTAACCATTCCCCTGAGAATCAGAACGAAGTCAGTGGTGAAGACAAAGATGTTTCTTTTAACATTTATAACATTTATGTATCTAATGCAGTCAACTTTATAAGCACGGAATGAAAACGTTAGACAGTATGCATGGTGTCCTTTTACTATCTATATTTTAATATGTGGAATTTCTGAATGAGGATTGTAGCTTAAATATATAAAGCCTTGCCAGCAGTGAAAGTCGTTGAAAATCTGGATTTCAACTTAACTTGAAGAAGTTTCTAAGTTGATCTCATCTGTCTCAGTACAGGATGCACATCTCATAAAAGCTTGCAGATGCATGAAACTATTTGAAAAGTCATTGTTAAATGTAATTGGTGACTCCTCCAAGAGACATTTTCCACCTTCATCATTTAGAACAGCATACCAAATATTCCATGGTTGCAGTAAATTATCCCCATCACTGGAACAAGTAACTGAAGATCAGGTGTTAAATGTGTCAGCTTCCACAGAACGCCAATTTAAGTGAAATAAGCGTTACACATTAATAATCAGCTTTGAAGGCTAATGCCATAATTCTAAATCTCTTTGCTGTTTGTGACATGGCAGTCCTTTTAGAAATGTCACAAGAAAACTGACAGTTTCATCAAAGGTTACCCAACACAGCAATCCAACTTTGGGAATTTATTTTATGGGTACTTATCAGTAGTTAAAATTAATGCAAACAAACAAACAAAAACCCACAAAAAAACAACAAACAAACAAAAAAAACAAGCCTATGTGGCAGTGGAGGTGAAATTACAAATTTCTACATCTAGTTTGGAAAAAATGGTGCACTGGTTTGATTCATGATAACTTTGACCCAGAAAACATTATACACTTTCAAGTATTATTAAAATAATCATGTCATTTAAAAAGAAATAGCAGATATTTCCAAGGGCATCAAGCATTTCACCATTAACTTGACATGAATTGATAATTTTAGACAATGAAGAAGAATGTAGGTCATAAATAATAAAGAAAAGGTCAATCAGAGC